AGGCTTAGCAAGCAGGGTTTAGGGTGTAGGTAGTGATGACATAGAGAGACTGCATGTGCTGATCATGGTACCAAAGAAAATACTGATGGTGCGTATATGTATAGTGTCAGGGCCCGAAGCCTTCGGTTCGAACTGTAAGACACAAAACCAATCATTCCTGTTGGCAAAAAAGCAAGATTAAGAACAAGCTAGCAACCACATGACTCACTAGCAAGCATGTGCCTAACGCAGCAACAACAGCAACAACAGCTGGTGGTGGTCGTAGTGGTGGTAGTAGTGGTAGTAGTGGTAGCTGCCGTGGTCGTGGGAGGAGGAGTAGGAAGAGGAGGAGTAGGAGACGAGGAGAAAGAGTAGCAGGAGGAGGCGGAGGAAGTGGTTTCCCAGTTCCAGGTCCTCTGGGCAAATCCCACCCCATCTCCTGGCACCTGAGACAAAATTAGAGCGAGAGCAAGAGCAGGACGGATGATTGAAGGCGAGAGGAATAGGAAAGCGGGCAAGAGAGAGAGGCAGTGACCGGTCGCTACAGTTGTGAATCTCAACCTGCAGCCTCAACCCGCTACCAAGGCCCCGCTACAAGCAGCCCGAGCTCCGGCAGCAGCATGATGTAACCGTCACTGAAGCCCTCACTCAGGATATGAGCCCACCTCGTTGGGGGACTTGAGATGTGGAGTTTGGATTCCGGGCGTTGAGGCTTCAAAGCCAGGAAGCGGATCTTCCAGGAGCCAAAGATCCGGGATCCAGAGGCGATGTTTCATGGCTTGGAGGCTTGGAGGCTGTTCTGGATAGTTTCTGGCTGATGGTAGCATTCAAACTGATGATCTGCATGTGGACTCACAGCTATTGCATGCCCAGTCCAAGCGAGATATCTCAGTGGAAATGAACGTCTTTAGCAGCCAAGTGCGCTGCTGGTAAGTTTAAGCAAAACTTGTATTCCTCAAAGACTGTCTTTCGAGGCTGCCTGCCCGACTGAGCGTAGCAGCAAGACCTTCCCTAAACCCTAAACTCTGAACTCCAAACCCAAAGTGGATGACAGTGAGTGGCGCAGTCGGAGGAAGCACGATACGCCGCACTAATAAGAATACGAGTTCGGGGATTCATCAAGTACCATTATCGTTTTCAATAACATCTATAGGGACTATCCGGGATACCGAAACCCTCCCTGGTAGTTTAAGCCCCCCTAGCCAAAAACGCATCCGAGCTGCTGCAGATCCGTCGGCCACGTCTTGAATGGTTGCTCGCCGAGGAAGTAGAGGGAAGTTGAAAGATTCCTAGAGGGATCTCTGGGGAACTTATAACTTGTAACGGGTCTTTGTGGATTCTCAAGGGATCTATCGGGCTGCATGCAGAAGTCGTGCCATATAAGCCATACTGACAATACTGACAGCGCTGTCGTTTTGGGCGGGTGGGTGAGCTGCCCGAGGCAATCTTGTAGTGAAACACACACACACACATATATATATATATATATGTATGTATGTATGTATGTATGTATGTATGTATGTATGTGTTTGTTTTTTGCATTTGCAGTGGCCTCCTGGCTCCTCAAAACCATGGTTGCAGTTCAGGCTGCGTTCTGCTTGCGCCAGTGTGCAAAACTGTGTGGTGGACAGGATGGCAACCACGCACTTCAAACACTACATGCTAGCTGGCCAGCCTCCACCTATCATGCAGTACTGATGTGCTGGGCTAGGAAACGCAGCCCTTTAACAGGACGGGATGGATTAACAAGTTCTAAGTTTTCCGTCTTCCAGGAAGGCTGAAAATGGAGCACACTCAATCTATTCTATGGGGTTCGTGGTCGTGAAAAGATTCGGGACTTTCCAGTCGTCCTACAGGTTAACGCTACCGCATTGCCCTAAACCCTAAACCATGCCAAAGAAAAATCCTATACGACGGATTTGTGACTCCAGGTGCTAAACCGTCCTTCTTGGTTGTAAAAGGGTGTCAGAGGGATGCTAAACGTTTTTACAACGGGATTCGTAAGGGTTTTAGAAGTCTTATAAGGGTTTCAGAAGGGCTAGCAGCCTGCAAACTTTGGTGGTGTCGGAACATCGCCATGAGATGTTGAGGGTCTGAATTGCATCATGTCTGTGGCCCGGGTATTTGCTGTTGGCCTTTGCGGGGGCTCTTGTTAATCCTTGATTCTGTGGAGAGGTCCGGACTATAAGGAGGCTCCATATGTATCAATAGCTACATAGGGATACGAAAAAAAGCACCAGCGGTTTGCAACAACAGACTGCTATTGATAAACCCTAGACCTTAACCCCTAAACTCTAGACCTTTAAGCCTTAAACCCGTATAGACCCTAGACATTAAATCCTGAAACCCTAAAACTCTGATCTGCTAGTCGCAACCGAGGCTCCAGTAGCCCCAAAGGAGGAACACCAGAGTTCCCGGTAAGACAGCGACGCCCATAACCAGAGCCATTCGAAGACTCGCCTACGTTGGGTTGCGTTTAGGGCTCTGCAGAGCCTAGGGCTTGGCTTCTTGATTTAAAGGGCTTAGGGCTTAGGGTTTTGGGAAGTTTAGGGCTTCGAGAGTCTAAGATTTAAAGTGCTCATAGGTCAGCAGCACGCGAGGCCTCGGTTTCCGGTGGGCTTCAGCAACAAGACCAGCACGGCAGGAGGATGTGGTTACGCTTGTAAGGGGGGGTGGTAATATAGGGGCCTTAATAAATAGAATAGGGTTGGTTTTGGGGCCCATTATACTATGAATATAAGGAACGCACCTAAAGAAATAGTATAGGTAAATAATAGGGCCCCTATATTAGCATGTAGCTTGTGAGGCATCTGGGGAGCTCATCATTGAAACCTAAAATTAAGCTCCGGTAGATTCACTGGCCCAGGCCCGCCCACTAAGGTTCTTCTTGGAGTAGCTGCGGGGTAGAGTGTTTAGGGTTTAAGTTTAGGGTGAGAATTCTGATGCTGGGTTCGGCTTTGGGGTTTAGGGGGTTTCTGATTCTAGGCTTCTGTCTACAGCAGTGGGTGTCTCCGAAGACCCCAATCAAACGCCAATGAAAACCGAACCGCACAAGCCCCATATGCGGATTACAAGATCCACAGGGCACACTCAAAAGCCAAACTTCAAACCCCAAGCCTGTGAGAACAAGCGAAAAACCCTCTCAGAAAAACCCATGTCAAAAACTCCAACCCCTACAGAAATCCCCGAAGAAACCCTTAAATAAACAACTTATACACTTAATACCGTAAGCCGGAAGCGCTACCCGAAGCATCCCCTCAAAAATTGCTCTAAACCTTAACCCTCCTTTGCGAAGGGGCCTTGAAATTCAGATGAGGTTCTTTCTTGGTGGTACACCCTAAACCCTAAGCCGTTGCTAAATGGTAGCATGATACACAGCAGGTCCGATTGACTGATACGACTAATGATCCCGATCCCACACTGACCCTGAAGGTCCAACTACCCAAATAGTAGGAAACTTTTAGGTGCCTGAAAAACCAGACTTTTTGGAACCTCTGCCCTCCCTGAACCCTTTTCCGACCCAAAAAGCCCCTAAAAACCGTAGACCCCAGAACCCTCGTCCGCCCCAAAACACGAAGCCTTGAAGCCCAAAACCCTAGAAACCCTAAGCCCTAAACCTAAAAACCCTGAACCCTTGTCCGCCCCTAACTGACCTTGGGTTAGTAGGGAATGGAGGACTGGGGTACAATTATAACTACTATTACTACCATTCTTCCATTCCCTACTAACCAAAGGTAAGCTAATACGAAGCCAAGGGGCGCAAATTGACGGGCAGACCTCGGCCTTCCAAACGCTGTCCTCGGCGCTGAATCCCATGTCCTCCATCCTAAGCGGTGGTTCTTGTTTTTGGGTTTTGGGGGGGTTTGGGCTAAGATGTTCACGGTTCAGGGTTTAAGCAGGGTTTGTAGGGTGAAGGGTTTAGGGGTCTCTGGTCTAGGGTTTTGAGCGTCAGGGGAAGGGGTTCAGGGTTCGAGGTTTATGTAGGGTTGAGGGTTTAGGATTTAGGGCTCAAGGTTTATAGGGCTTGGATTTCATAAGGGCCACCACCTTGAGCTGGACTTTGTGCCAACGTTCGTTTGCGAGTGAGTATGAATGAACTGAAGCTTGAGTTACAGATTCTATCATGAACTGGTACTTACGGATAATACGCTTAAACCCTAGACCCTAAACCCAAAACCCTGAACCCAGAGCAACTTCCACACTTATCCTCAACGACGGCCGAGGGTCGAGGAGAAGGAGTCGCCATTGTCGGTGTAGGAGTCCATCATGCGCGCTGGCTCTCTGAAGCCCTGTTAAAAAGAAAAGGGGGCTTACAAAGACCTGGGCTGAGACTTAAGTGGGGGAGATATTCGGCTTAGGGTTTATAGGGTTTAGGGCTGAGACTTAAGTGGGGGAGATATGAGGTTGAGGCTTGGGGCTTGCGGTTGATAGTTGAGGTTTATGGCTTTGGGTTCATGGGGTTAGAGCTTCCCTCCATGGAAGGCAGGCTGTGGCAGGCGTTAAGAGTCGAAACCCTAAGCTTCCTAGACTATAGTACCCTAAACCCTAAACCCTAAGGGCTTTTGAGGGCCGCCTGACTTGTCCTCCCCACCAGGCTATGAGCCCATGAGCAGCGGGAGGGAGCAAACTCTTGCGTGCCCAAGCCCTAAACAAAACCTAAAACCGGAGCTGTACTGTGGTGGCCTTAGTAATTAGAATACGGTTTGGGGGGAAATAAACTATAGTCATAACAAAGAGCCCCCCCCTTGATTCGCAATCGGTTTACGGTTTAGGCTGTAGGGTTCGCGTCGGCAGTCACCAGCATCGTACCATAGGGGCAGTGATAATTACCAATACTATTCTGGGGCTCCATATTGCCTTATTAAAGTTGTAGTATACTAACCTCCAAAACCCTATTCAAATTATTAAGGCCCCTACAGTAAATCCTTATGATAGCCCTTACAGACCCCTTTAAAGGGAAACCCTATTCTAATTACTAAGACCCCTATATCAAGACTGGCTCGCGACTTCAGCACGGCAGCCTCGAACACGGCGAACTGTGCAGATCGGTACACCTCAGGCAATGAGAGATGATCCACGATTCATGTGTTGTGTACATGAACCAAATGTGTATGAAGATGCACACACACGCACACATAAACCCACCCACCCACCCACCCACCCACCCACACACACATATATATATATATATATATATATTATATATAAGTACACATTGTATACATATTACATATACATACACATATACATATATATATATATATATGTAGATATACATATATACATATTATGTATAAATATAATTACATATGTGTATGTATATGTGTACACCGACTCTTTCGGGCAAATGGTAGCCTCAGGGCACGTATCAGGAACTAGTTCGCAATCAGGAGCCCTAACAGGGTAGGTTTTAGAGGGTTCAGATAAGTGAACTTACTCACGATTCAAGATACAGTTGTTCTTAAGAAAGAGAGACGAAATCAACCAGTTTCATGTTTGTCTATGCGTTATACTTCAGATGCCGCTGTCTCGACCTCATGGTGAACTTCATGGCTCGGGTGACTGTAGCGGTTTCGATGAACACTGCTTCCTTGAAGTAGTTTTGGACAAAGAGTTTGTTGGATGGGCAGCGGGATCGGCCGCCAAAAGCGCACATCCCCAGCACTCGCAGACGGAGTCCACGGTGATAGCGTGAGCATTGTAGCGAGCGACATGATTCCTGTATGAACTAATATGAACTGCAATGTCTGTCCGTGAGATCTAGCCCGAAAGCGAACTGGGATCAGCTGCAACTGAGGCTGAGACAGAACTGCCCATGAGCGGCGGGACTACCTGCAAAGGGGTATTGTATTGTAGATTGTCGTATATAGTACAGTACATACCAGATGTTGTGCATCATATTTCATACTGTAGTTCATATTTCATACATCTTTTTGTATACTCTGCGCCACATGTTGTATATACATATCTCTCTCTGTATAGATATATATATATATATACATATGTTATATTATGTGTATTCTGTATTGTGAAGCTTGCAAAGAAATCAGAGGGGCAGTCTCTATGGAAAAACTCCCCCGGCCCCGCATCCCAGCTCCTTGAAGACTCAGTGGACTTGCGAAGTTTCAGGGTGTTAAGGCTTTAAGGTTTTAGGGTTTATGTAGCGTTTAGGGTTCAGGGTTTAGGGATGCTTGGGAGTAGAAGAACTACACTTACAATGACCCTGATTGGGGTAGGGGCGCTACTGACAACCCGGGAATCTAAGCCCTAAACCTTAAACTCTGAAGCCAGGAACCCTGTTTACTAAGCCCGCTGAGCCTTTCGGGAAGGTTTCGATCTTCCGAACTTCCGATTTAAAGCTGTCCTTTGCCAACCGTGGGTTTTAGGGTATAGGGTTCCGGGGCACCATAAAGCCCCAAGCCTACTGAACCTTAGGCACCCTATGCCATCATCAAATCTCAAGCCCCAAACCCGAAAACCCCCAAACCAAAACTCTGAACCTTCCTGAACTCCCGAAGCCAAAGTCTCAGGCCCCGACCCCTCGGAAAAAGCCGCGGATGCCTTCTGTAGTCCAGACCTGCAAGAAAAGAACGAACAAGCCGCGAAGGAATCGAATAAACACTTAAGTTAAGGGGCGATGTGGGCGATGTTCTAACAGCGGCAGAGGGATTCAGCAGGGTTGGGGTGCCCACGGGTTCTATGTTCTTGGGCCGCAGGACATTCTGATAGGGGTCCTAGGGTGCTACAGGTTCATACAGTATGATATTGGGGTCGGAGTCTTTGGAAACACTAGTCACTACTCGCTAATAGTTGGTGTGCACGTACACTATACTATAGCACCCTGTTCTAATCATAAAGGCCCCTTTATTTATTAATGGAGAGTCCCTAAGGGGGAAGACCGCCAGGGGGGATCCTGCAAAGCGCTTCCCTTGTCGGGGCAGCTCTACTCTGCAGTTCTTCTCGAGCTCATGCAACTTCACTCCCACTTTCTCTCTGTCTCTCTCACTCGACAGTGCGGGACCAAAGGCAAACTGCTACATAGCTGCAGGGGACTTGCTGAACACGAAGTGTCACTTCTTCCATTTCCGGTGGGGCAATTTCCAGCAGGCAGCAGGCAGGTAGCTGCATCTTTGCGAGTATTGAGCAGAGGCTTGGGGTTAAGGGTGTACGACTTTAGGTGGTAGTAAACAGTGGCGCTTCATAACGACTGCTCTGCAAATGCATTCGTCAATCAGGTGTCTTGCCCTCTGCATGGCCTTCCGGCAGACCGCCAACATGCCCATATCCTGCAAAAGCGAAGGCTGGACGGCTTGACTGAATGCCTTGGGCTGAGTTAAGAGGCGCCCGTCGTCGTCCTCCTTCTCGTCGTCATGAGCGGCATCAATCAACAACAACATCAACTTCTTCTCTCATCTCCTTCATCATCAGCGGCATCATCAATAGCATCGCCTTCTGATGCTAACCATCATCATCTGCCTCGTTCTCTACTCCTTTAACATGACCATCATCATCAGCAGGGTCGTCTTCTACTACTTCTTCTTCATCATCGTAATATCATGAGCAACACTATCCCGCTGTTCCCCCGTCATCTTGTGCTCACTCCCCGTGAACACATGCTTAAACGCATCCTTGTGTCCCAAACGCCCGTGCCTCCTCTGCATCTTGTTGTTTCACACCTCAATCACCCACCTTCAGCATTCACACCATCAACATCACCATCACGACTGTCATTCGTTATGCAGTATCTGATCTTGTTCGTGCTGCTGAAGCTGCTACTGTTGTTGCTTGTTTTTCTGGTGTTGTTGTTGTTGTTGCTGCTGCTGGTACTGCTCTGTTTGCTTTTGTTGCTCTTGTTGTTGTCGTGGATGTAGTTGCTGCCTTTTTGTGCCCGCTTTGTTCTTCAGGGACAACATTCGCCTCCTGCAGTGCAGAGCGGATGCGGCCCCAAGCACAGGAATTGCAACACATGGCAAGCCCATCTTTTAGCTATCTCTGCCACGGCGAAGTTGCGCCGAAGCCCATCTCTGGTCTCTGCAAGACTTCAAAAGTGAGCTTCACGCACTTCTCGTAGTGAACAAACTGGAACCTGTGCGAGTCTTCAGCAGTGGAGGGCGTGCTCTATGGCTGATGCGCAGTCGCACACACATGCACACACACACACAAACACACATACACACACATGCATGCGCTCACACACACACACACACATACATACACATACACACACACACACAGCTAAATCACTCACTTAATCAGTCAATCAACGAACCTATACACATATGGCATAGAACACCATATATATACCTATATATACAGGTTATGTAACAAATGTACATATACGTCTCTGTCTGTGCATCCCTGCACCGCTTTCTGAATAAAACATACATATACATATGCAAGTGTATTTATACATACATACATATATATATATATACATACATATATATATATATATATATACACACAGATATGCACATAGATGCGTGCATGTATGTATGTATGTATGCATGTTTGTATGTATAATGCATGTACATCCACAGTTGCATGCCTGCATATACATTACTGTTATCTATGTCTATATCTGTGTCTATATACACGGATATACTCATGTAACATGTTGATGTTGCAATCTACTTGGGGAGAGCAGCATAGAATAGTATGCATGTATGTATATGTATATACATATACATATACATATATATATATATATATATATATATATACGTACTGTTTTGTACCATGTATGTATCTGTATACAGATAAACACATAATGCATATGACTGTGCACGTGAGAGCGCGTGCACGCATACACGTGTGCTTGCTTACTGCAGTGTTTGTTCATGTATTTAGTGACTTGCTCGTATCTCTTTGCATGCGCTCATACATGCATACAAAAACACATACGTACGTATGTACAAACAGTATACATACATGCGTACCTACATATGTGCACACGTACAGACTTACATGCATACCTGCATAGTCGCACACAGGTGCACAAGTGGCATAAGGAGATGTAGGTATTTGCGGACACCTGGTCATACACTGTCGACAGAGGTGAAGACCGGCGTGCCTTCTGTGAAGGGGCGTTAATGATCAAACTAGGGTTTGGGGGATACGATACTTGAACTATAGATGCACTGCAGGGGTCTACTACGACTTGCTATTGAGGCCCCCATGCAATATACTCGACGACATATACATATAATATATATATATATATATATATATATATATGTATACATATATACGTACATATGTACATGTACGTGTTCATATACATATACGTATGCATATACATATACTACATGTACATGTACATACATACATGCCTACATACATGCATATCTTTGGGGACTTGAAGCGCGCGCTGCGAAACCTATACAATAGAAGGGGATGCCATTGAATTGCCTAGGCCCCTATCTTGCTCTTACTTAGTGGCTGAGTACCGTAGCCCAAGAAAGCTAATCTTCTCGATTATGCCTCTATAAACCCCCAAAACGTCAAAGGTTACCTACTCAGCTACTAAGTAAAGGATCATGGGACGTAGTAACTAGGGTTACAAGTAAGGTCACTATAGTTGTAATTACTTGTAACTATAGCTACAAGTATTCAGTAACCCTAAACCTAAAACCCTAAACCTTCTAACTTTATGACGCTCCCGCCTCGCATCGTTGGGATCACCGACTTTGTATTCATCGGCACGTGCGAGCCACTGGAGAAACGTGAGCTCCGAATTCAGGGCCTCAGTTTAGAGCTTAGGGGGGTCCATAAGTCCGAATTCTGGGCCTCAGGAAACCAGGCCATCTGGGAGTGAACAGCGAGGACACATGGTTTAGCCGGTTTAGCTACCAGTAGTACGATTCATACCTGAAGATTTTCATTTGGGCTGCTGGATGCTGTCAGGCTGTCGGCCTCGGCCTCAACATGGGACCCTGCTGGACCCCGCGGAGAAGCTGAAGCTGGCAGCCGGCTGCTATCGACTTTCTCGACTCCCATGCTTCTTCTGAGTATCAGTTCATCACTCGACCCCCAAAAAACAGATGGATGTACGACATTCTGCATGCGATGTAGTGTCGGCAAAGAAGCAAGACAACCTCTATAGATGATGCCTATACCATGGCGTCTCGATGGCCCCAAGACCCAGGACCTTCTTCAGAGCCTCTACAGGGAACTCCAGAAAGTTGGAATATGGTTTCATGGTAGGATACCCTACAATTTACCATAGAAGGGTTAGGATAATCATATTACAACTTTCTGGCTTTTACCTTACCAGCATGGGGATCTCGGAACCTAAACCATCCTGTGTTAGATGGTCCTTAGCCTGAAGACCTCTGACGGCCCCCCTACGGTTGACGGAGCGGTTGACGGACATAATCCTGCATGACCATAATAAGGAGTATACCAGAGAAGTCCCATAGCTTAGAGTCCTTAGAGTCATTTTGGGTTTATATCATCAGCCGTAGTTTCAGAAGTCCTCAACATGTACCCCTGCCCGAGCCCCTAAACCCTTGCAAGCCCAGGCTCCAGGTCCAAAAGGGCTCTTCGCACTGGCGAGCAATCCTGGGTTCTTGTTCAGGAATGTAATTCAAGTTACCATAGTAGCGATCTATAATTTATAGCTATAAATAACATGGTTTCCATATTATGGTACATTAAATTAAACCCCTTAACAAGAACCCTAAACCCTGAGGAAAAAAAACATAAACCCCTAAACTCTTTAATGTAAGTCCCTTAACAAGAGCGCAGAGTCATCCGATGCGATCTCGTCCGCGCTGGACGGTCCAATCTCATCGCAGCAGACGAGCGCGTGGCGGATTGCAGCAGTCGCCTGGAGCTTTGAGGGTTTTGCGAATTAAGGAGGGGGTGGGGTTTGCGAGTTTAGGAGGGAGTTAATAGGATTAAGTTTAAATGAAGAAGGGTTCTCTTGGAAACGCCTAAGGTAAAAGCCAGAATGTTGGAATATGATTATCCTAACCCTTCTATGGTAAAGTATAGGGTATCCTACCATGAAACCATATTCCAACTTTCTGGAGTTCCCTGTATGTACTGGGCTGTGCCTGCTCCAGGCATCCTTCGGTGAGCTCCAAGGCAACGGGGCATGTGCCCTCGCGGCCCTCCGCCTGCTGGGAGCTGGCAATTCTGGCGGTTTAGGGCTTAGGGGTTTAAACGGTTTAGGGTTTGGGGTAGAGCTTGAGGCTTAGGGCTGAGATGGATTGAGGCTTTGGGCTTTTTTTGTTGAGTTTTTGGGGGTCAACTCTTAAGCACCCCAGGTGAATGATTGGGAATGCTAGTGCCTCCTCAGATCAGCTCATTGGCTTTGCATGCTCTAGACGGTGCGACCCCCCGCTTCGAACCTTCAAGCAACAAAGGAAGGATGCTGTTCTACACGAAAGGACCTTCTCAAAACTCCTACGAAAACTATCTCTAAACCCTACAAGCCCCTGCCCCCCCCTTCAAAAAAAACAAACCTAGATGTCAGAGCCACCCCATGGGCTCCGTGTTCCCTTGGTCCTCGTCCTGCGGCTCTTCAGCGGGCTGCAATTGGAGCGCTACCTGGGCCAGGTAGTCTTTTGTTTAGGGTTTAGGGGCTTAGGGTTTTAGGGGTTTAGGGGTTTATAGGGTTTAGGGGTTTATAGGGTTTAGGGTTCATAGGGTTTAGGGGTTTAGTGGTTTAGGGTTTAGGCTGTCGTTCTTGGATACTATCACGGTCTGTGCATGTGCATTTCGAGGAGGACGGTGCTAGGTCAGGATTTCGCTTCTGTTGGAAGGACTACCTCTGACAGTAGTATGAAACAGCGTTGATTCTGTCCGTTAAGGTGACCACTGGCACGACTGAAGGCGCACATACTACTAGAAGACGATGTCCATCAATGACACTACTCCACTTTTGTTCTGATACTCTGGCCATTACCTGCTCTTCTCACTCTTTTGTTGAACCTATCACTAGCTGGCGCGGCTCTGTGTGGTTATGCATACGCTGCAACCATTGCGCTTGCTATGCTACGAATACTTCTTGTGCTTATCCCGACGCTGCGAACACTCTCTCTCGCAAAACTGGATGCGCTTCGCTGTCGGCGACGTTGCTGCTGTATCATTGGCGCCTTTGCAGCCCCTGCTGCTTCAGCCGTATAGGCCGTTTATATAAACACACTAAAACGTCCTAAGAAAGCTGTTCTTCTTGCTCACCGCCTTCCGCCAATCTCACGAGGCTCTCGTTGGCCTTTGTCGTCGTTCTTGCCGCCGTGGTCGCAGATGTCTCTGCATACTGTGCTGTCGATGAGAA